GCGCTGCCTCTCCATCAGAGAGGACAGCGTCTCACCCAGGCCCAGCTTTTTTCTCATTTGTCTTTTTTCAATCCTTCACCACCCCCTCTCAGGCTCACCAAACCTGGCTGAGTTGGCGTGGCACAATGGATGACTGAAAAGAAGGCCGTAGCAGACCCTGAAGCTTGTGGGAACTATACTTTCCCAACCTCAACGCCACATACAGCCCCCAGGAAGATCTGCTGAAATCTGTATGATGACAGCGTATTTTCTTTTTAAAAAAATTTTTTTAGCCAAAACCGGTTTGGCTTAGTGGATAGAGCATTGGCCTGTGAACTGAAAGGTCCCAGGTTCGATTCCGATCAGGGGCATGTACATTGGTTGCGGGCACATCCCCAGTGAGGGATGTGCAGGAGGCAGCTGAACGATGTTTCTCTCTCATCGATGTTTCTAACGCTTTATCCCTCTCCCTTCCTCTCTGTAAAAATCAATAAAATATATTTTTAAAATATTTTTTATTTCAGAGAGGAAGGGAGAGGGAGAGATAGAACATCAATGATTATAGAGAATCATTGATTGGCTGCCTCCTGCATGCTCCACATATGACCTCCTTGTTCATAGGTCAAAGTTCAACCACTAAGTCACACTGGCCGAGCAACAGCATACTTTTTTTAAAATATATTTTTATTGATTTCAGAGAGGAAGGAAGGAGAGACAGATAGAAACATCAATGATGAGAGAGAATCACTGGTTAGCTGCCTCCTGCATACCCCCTCCTAGGGATCAAGCCCACAACCTGGGCATGTGCCCTTGACCAAAATCAAACCTGGGACTTTCAGTTCGCAGGCAGACACTCTATCTACTGAGCCAAACTGGCTAGGGCAGCATATCTTCTTATATTTGAACCATAACTGTCTCCTGAGCCATTTCCCTAATTAAATTTATTACCAAGGGCAGAATAGTGGATTTTTTTTTCCTGCCAAGTATTCATTCACTATATCTAATGAAAATCATTCAGAGAAACCACCCTTATTCCACTTTCAGACCATGTGGATAAACACAGAACCCAGACCTAAGTAAATCAGCACATAACATTTCCTAAGTTATAGTGATTGTTTCAGGGACAGGCACATAACCCAGAGCCAAAAATGCACAAGCAGAATTTTCTTTCTAAGAAAGTCTGTTGTTCTTCCCCACTAAGACTAGATATAAGAAGATGTAATATGAACTGCTGCAAATATGTTGATGCCACAAAGGAAGAGGCAATCCAGAGGAAGATGTAACTTATTCACTCACTGAACAAAAATCTATTGAGTACCCACTCTGTACAAGACACTGGTCTAGCCAAAATCGGTTTGGCTCAGTGGTAGAGCGTCGGTCTGCGGACTGAAAGGTCCCCAGGTTCGATTCCAGTCAGAGGCATGTGCGTTGGTTGTGGGCACATCCCCTGTGGGGGGGTGTGCAGGAGGCAGTTGGTTAATGTTTCTCTCTCATCGATGTTTCTAGCTCTCTATCTCTCTCCCTTCCTCTCTGTAAAAAATCAATAAAATATATTTTTTTTAAAAAAGACACTGGTCTAAGTGCAGGCACTACAGTGGTGAAATATATATTCCTTACATTCATAGAATTTATAATCTAGTAGAGGATATACAATAACAGTAAACACTTACATAGCAGTTATTATGTGTCAAGCACTACTCTAAGCACTTTACACATATCAATTCTTGTAATAGTAACAATCCTAACAGCATACTCATTATCACTATTTTATTTATTTTTAATATATATATATATTTTTTTTTTCAGAGATGAAGGGAGGAGAGTTAGAAACATCGATGAGAAACATGAATCGGCTGTCTCCTGCACACCCCCTACTGGAGTCCTATGTATTTATAGGACTCCACAACCAAGGTACATGCCCTTGACCAGAATCAAACCCGGGACCCTTGAGTCCTCAGGCCAATGCTCTATCTACTGAGCCAAACTGGCCAGGGCCCATTATCCCTATTTTAAAATATGAGGAAACTGAAGTAGATAGAAGTTACTTCCCCAGGTCACGAAATAAATAATGGAGCTGAGAATCAAATCTAGAATGATTGGCTCAATAACTTGTGTGCTTATTCACCATATTATAAACTACCTTGTCAAGAGGGAAGAAAGGTCCTATGAGAAAATTCAATCAGTCTTGTAAGGAACAGTCTAAAAGGAACAGTCTTTTTCTTTAAAAAGAAAAAGAATACTAGGCAATTGGGGACTGAAAAAAAATTTAACTGAGCTGAAAAAATTTCACTTGAATCAAGTGACAAAAAAATGGGACTGGGAGTGACTTGGTCAGACTGAGGCCATAGGAGGTTGGTAAGATCAAAGACCTGAAGACCCTGAGGCAGAAATGAGTTTAGTATATTTAAGAGATGGAAAGCCAATGTGGCTGAAGCCTTAGGAGTAAGCCCTCAATGTATGCAAGGACTGTGGATTAATCTAGTTGGAAGAGGAGGCCATAGGCACCATCTCCTTCCAACTCTATCCCCTTAAATCTTTCCACCGTCACTGCACTATTTTAGTAAGATAAAATGACACCTATTTGGAACAAGATTTCGAATCAGGGAGGGTTTTTTTTTTTGTTTTTGTTTTTTGCTTTTCAGATGAAAGCGATTAAGCATTTTTTTTAAATGCTGACATGAACACAGCACAAAGATAAACTGTCCATACAGAAAATAAATTTATGGAAAAAGGTTTCTGAAGGTGCAAGGACATTTAGCCTTAAGATATGAACATTTATTGACAACCTACATTGTGTTAAATTCTAGATTCACATGAAAATATATTTTTATTATCATTTTCATGTTACAGGTGAGGAAACTGACACCTGAAAAGTTTAAATAACTTATCCAAAAATCACATAACTTGTGTCAAACTGAGAATATGAACCCAGACAGCCTGTGTTTCATTTGATTAGCCTCTCATAACCTCACAAAATACCAAATTCTCCCCCAATGTCATTTGAGGGAAAATTTCTGGGAAAGAAGAGAATTAACAAGGCACTTTGACTCATTTCCTCTAATTTTTTTTATCCTCCCTGGGATTCTTCCATAGTACTGTCTATTGCCAGAACTGTAGTATTTAATGTGTTCCTTGAGTAATTTTGCATTTATGTAATTAAACTCTTCATTCACTGTTTAACCTGAAATTTCCCTTCACCTTAATTGCAGCTAAAATGCATTTCCCCTTACTGTCCATGAAAGATTTTGTATTTTCCTGAGTGCTGGCTGTCCTGTATTTAGTGGCATCTTGCTTTTTGGGCATATGGGTGCCCAAAGGACATCCAGAATATTATGTTCCCAAAAAGCTGTTTCTTCCACTAATAGAGCAGGCAGCCTGAAAGCTGGAACCTGGTGCCATGTGCAAGCCATCAGTGTACTTGGCTGCCCTGGCTCTGTCAATCCTGTGTCACTCAGCTTCTCTGGACACTTCAGCCTCCATTCCTAAAACAGCAGCCTAACCAGCTGCTTCTCACCATCTTCCAATCATTTTCTCTCTCTGTCCTGTATCATCAATTTTTCCCTCTCTACTGGGTCATTGCTATGAACAAACAAAATCGCCCATCTTAAAAATAAAAAAATAAAACTCTCTCTTAACCCTACTCCTTTCTCCCCTCTTCGGTTACCACTCCCTTCTGCTCTGCTCCTCTAGGAAGAGGTTTTTTTGTTTGTTTTTTAAATATATTTTATTGATTTTTTACAGAGAGGAATGGAGAGGGATAGAGAGCTAGAAACATCGATGAGAGAGAAACATCGACCAGCTGCCCCCTGCACACTCCTTACCCCAGGGATGTGCCCGCAACCAACGTACATGCCCCCGACAGGATCGAACCTGGGACCCTTTAGTCCACAGACCGACGCTCTATCCACTGAGCCAAACCGGTCTTGGCTAGGAAGAGTTTTATATATATTCTGGCTATCCTCAATTCCTCCCCTCTCATTTTCTCTTAAACCCACACCATTTAGGCTTTTACCCAGATCACTCTACCGAACTGTTCCTGTCAAGTCACTAACATCACACACACACACACACACACACAGCCCCCAGGATGGAAGAATTTTGTCTGTTTTGTTTATTGGTGTATCCCCGGAATCCTGACAGGGCCTGTATATAGCATATAATTAATGAATTCCATCCCCTTCAATTTCCGCAGCAGTTCTCTCTCCATTTCGAGTCTGATTGAGAAACTCCAAAGGATGAAGGGGGCTTTAGGCCACAAATCCGCCAAGGTAAATCAAGCTCCGCAGGCCGCTAAGGCAGTCTGGGAGACCCTAGATGACTAAACAGTTTCTCCTTTTGCAGACCCTCTGCCTTTTCTCCAGAATGGAAGAACCCCAGGGAGGAGACAGTAGCTGAGGTTTACAGCCGGAAAATATCGGGAGAGCTGCTCATCAGGAACACCGACCCAGGCATCACTCCTCGCAGGAGGCTCGCATACAGTGAAAGTGAAGACGGCCGGAGGCCGCTCCCGACCGCGAGACGAGTTCAGTGTGGAACCGGGAGAGGATCCTGCAAGCCTGAGGCTGGAGAGGACTAAACGACCCTTACGGAGCCCGGTGGGTCAGTGCCCGCCGCCTCGCCACCACCACGACTCCTTCGGTGCGCGGCTTTCTCCTGCGGGGTGAAACCTGGCGCTAGAACGATTTCTGCCGCGTGGCCTTGTGGGAGTTGTAGTCTTTCGGGAGACTGTGCTAGAAGGGCCCTTTATAAAGCTGGCAGAAAAGAAAAAAAAAAACAACAAAAAAACACACGATGTTTATAGGACTCCAAAAACGATCATCGTGCTCTCACTCTAAATAATTACTTCTCCCTTTTCTGAGTCTCGGCCAGTTTCCTGAGTAGTTCTCCCGCATCCCCTCCCCACGTCGCCGGTGCCGCCCCTCTGAGAGCCAATCCAGCTCTCTCCACTCGCTCGCCTCCTTGCCGTTCTGGCCAATCGCAGGGGAGTTCCCGGTCAATTCCCAGAGTGCTTTGCGGCTGTGATGGCTGCCCCCGGCCGGCGCGGGGCTGCGCTCTTCCCAGCGGTGTTAGGGCTTTGGCAGCTGGGCCCTGTCGCCCCGAGGGAGTGGGCGGCCCGGTTCCCGTCCCTCCTGGGCTGTCAGCGGAGGTGCGTGTCCTGTGCTGCAGGCGCCACTTCCTCTGGCCCCCTCCTGGCCTCAGCTTCTAGGCGTTATGGCCCGAACTCGGCCCTGGATCGCATCCTCGGACTCTCTCAGCCTCAGCCCGACAGTTCGTTAACCTTGACTCCTCGCGTCCCCGCCGTGTCCATGAACAGAGGTAAAGGGCTCAGATAGATTTGCCCGAGACTGTCACGGTGTTTATCACTGGAAGTGCCATATCGGGGAAGACCCTCAATCTGGGGATATTATTTTTGGCCCTGTGTTATAGAAAACAACCTAAAGACCTAGCGAGAGAGGAGCAGTGAAGGATGTCAGAGGGGAGAGATACTAGGTTCTAAGAGCTTGGAAGCCAGAGGGACAATCAGAAACACTCACAAAACACGAGATTGAAGGACCGCAGGCCAGGCAGAGTTGTAGCCCTCTGACCCCACGTGGGAAGCTGACTCTATCCAATAAGTTACCCTCTGTACTTGTCAAGACACAGAACTACACCTGGGAAATAGCACCCTCTATTGTAGAGGAATAGTATAGACTAGATCTGGTAGGGAGTCTGGGACACATAAACTGGTCATTGTAAAGCAAGGTCACAAAAACTGATAAAAAAAAAAAAAAAAAAAAAAGGCTCAGAATGCTTTCAGAGCCTTCATTACTCCCCTAGGAAGGTGTGACTATCAGGGATGGAGGGATGTCTGGCTTTATCTGGTCTGTGTTCTCGTGTACATATGTATTTACAGGCACAACCACACAGGGTAGTTCCACACAGTAATTGAGTTTTGTTTCTTGGTTTGTTTTTTAGTAATTGAGTATTAAGTGCCAGGGATTGTGCTGAGTGGTTTTACACAATTTCTAATTGTCTAAAGAAGGTTATAAGTAGGTATTGTTAATATCATCATTTTACATATGAGAAATCTAAGGAATTTAGAGAAGTTAGAGGAGTTGATAAAATCATATAAACTAATTAATGGACAAAGTCTCAAAGCCACGTCTCAGCTTCAACCTGGTACCTAATCTTGTATCCCTATTCCCTTTGTGGGTGGGTAGGACTTTGTGCCTGACAGGATCCAGATTGTACTCTCCCTCATTCCCCTCCTGTCCCCACATACAGATGAGCAGAATCACCTCTTGGCTCATCCCCCCAACATGCCTGCGAATCCCCGCGTCCTACGAGTGGCCATTCTGGGTGCCCCGAATGCAGGAAAGTCAACGCTCTCCAACCAGCTGTTGGGCCGAAAAGTATGCTACATCCTTGACAACCCCTCTTTCCCCACTCCCTCCTCCCCTTTTCATCTCTCCATGTGTTGTTTTAAAGGGACTGGGACCTCACTTGGAACTTCTTTGCTTCTGTCAGGTGTTTCCTGTCTCCAAGAAGGTGCACACCACCCGCTGCCAGGCTCTGGGGGTCATCACGGAGGAAGAAGCTCAGGTGGTGGGTACCTGCAACAGGACAGAGGGTGCAGCTAAAAGGACCTCCCCTAGTGTTAGGCCTGAAAAAATGACGTTTAGACTCACTTCAGTGAGGGAAAAGGGTCTCCTTTCATTAAGGCCTGGAGCAGTTGTCTCTGTACCTTTCCCCTCCGGCATCTAGTCAGAAAGGTCTCATTTTCTCTTCACTGCCTACTAATCTTCTGTGTAATCACAGTCATCATCTTCCTGGATCCCATCTACAATTTCAGCAAAGTTAGAGGGTAACTATCTAGTCAGCTTGGCCAAGAAGTGGGGGCAGGAGGTAGGGGAAGCGGGCTCCCGACATGCAGGGTGGCCTTTCTCTCACTTCCAGGAACAATCCTCCCTCCTCAGGGGAGGGGGTCTGAGAAACCTTCTTTTCTGATTTTAGATTCTACTTGACACACCTGGCCTGATCAGCCCTGTTGAAAAAAAAAGGTAATTGTTATGGAAATAAGGTTATGGGGGGGAGGGGTAGTATTGAAGAGTGGGTGGGGAAAATCATTATAGGGGCTGGAAAAGCCCCTTATCACATCCCATCTCTCATCAGGGATAAATCAGTCATGAGGCCCCTCCTGACTTATATACGTTTGTCCCTCAGGCACAGTCTGGAGCTCTCTTTGTTGGAAGATCCGTGGAAGAGCGTGGAATCTGCTGATCTGGGTTAGGCTCAAGATGGGAATCTGAAGCCCAACTTTCACCGTTGTGGCCTCTCATTCCTGATCGTTTGTGGGAAGGGCTTGGCCAGAGCTCATGCCCTGGCAGTTCTTGGGGGGGTGAGGAAAAGAGTGGTCATATCTTTGTTCTCCCCACCCTTCCAACTTCTTCCAGTCATAGTCCTTGTGGATGTCTCTGACAAGTGGACTCGGAACCAGCTCAGCCCCAAAGTGCTCCAGTGCTTGACCCAGTTCTCCCAAGTCCCCAGCATCCTTGTCATGAACAAGGTGAGCACCACATATCTGATGAAGGCGTTTATTTTCCTTCCAGGCCTCTACCTTGCTGACCACACACTCTCTGCTCATTCCCCATGGCCAGGTAGATTGCCTAAAGAAGAAATCAGTTCTCCTGGAGCTCACGGCTGCCCTCACTGAAGGGGTGGTCAATGGCAAGAAGCTCAAGATAAGGCAGGCCTTCGGGTCACAGCCAGGCATCAGCTGCCCCAGCCCAGCAGCTCAGGACCCAAACACACAGTCTGTGAGAGGCCCTCGGAGGACTGGCTGGCCCCACTTCCAAGAGATCTTCATGTTGTCAGCCCTGAGCCAGGAGGATGTGAAAGTACTAAAGGTCAGTCGTGGCCATAGCCTGGCCTTTGGCTCCCACCACGCGAAGACAAGCCTCGGAGTTCCTATTGGAAGCGAGAGTGAGTAGGAAAGTCCTGGTTGGAACTGAGATGCTCACCTACTCCCTCTGTACCCACAGCAATACCTCCTGGCCCAGGCCCGGCCAGGGCCCTGGGAGTTCCACAGTGAAGTCCTCACTAGCCAGACACCTGAGGAGATCTGCTCCAACATCATCCGAGAGAAGCTTCTAGAGCACCTGCCCCTGGAGATGCCCTACAATGTGCAGCAGGTACAGCCGGTGAGAGGCTCTGGGGCCCTCCACCAGCTGCACTCAGAGCAAGACAGCTGGGTGCCGGAGGGGGAGGGGTGTGGATCTGTCTGACGGACGTTTCCTTGTGCAGAAAACCATTGTGTGGGAGGAAGGGCCAAATGGGCAGCTGGTGATCGTACAGAAGCTTCTGGTGCACAAAGAATCACATGTGGTAAGCAGGGCTGGGCTTGGAGGAGAGAGGAAGGCTCTCTTAGGCAGGGGTTCTCTTCCTGGTGGGGAGCTCCGATAGCCAGCTCAGGGTCCCTCTCTTTTATCCCACCCTCAGAGGATCCTGATTGGTCCAAAGGGGAGCCTGATTTCCAGGATTGCAGATGAGGTGGGCCGCGACCTCATGAACATCTTCCTCTGTGATGTTCAGCTCCGCCTCTCTGTGAAGCTCTCCGATGGACCACCCTCTGCTCTCGCAGCCCATGCTTCTGGCAGGAGCTACTGACCAGGATCGTCCCTGCCTGGAACCTGCAGAGACTAGTGGGGGGCATGGTACTGACTGCCTGGAACCTGTCTTAGCTCAGTCCCCAGCTAATTCCTCTCACTGGAGACACAGGCACTTTGGTCTAGAAGTTGGCCCGTTGGTGGGAGCAGTGCCACCCTGCTTCCTCCTGTCATTGGGCCCAAAGTTTCTCCCTGAGTTGCCAGTGGGTAGCAGAGATCTATTTTTTTTTTAATTCTTTATTAAAAGTATTACATACGTCTCCTTTTCCCCCCATTGACCTCTCCCCAGCTGCCTCCACCCCCCAGAAAGATCTTTTCCTCCCTCTCAGATCCTCCCCCTGAAGTCACATAAGGACCCATGTGTCCCAGGTGAGGTGGTGCCTCCCACCTGTTCCACCCAAGTCCTTGTTACCTCCCACCCTCATGCTCCCCATTCTTGGATCCAAATAAAGTTAAAAGACAAGCATTTTGCTTCTCACCTTTATTTCTTTAGAACAGAAAAGAGAAAACTTACCCATCCCCTCACCCCCACCCTGTTGTCTGAGCTGGAGACTCCCTCCCTTCCAGTCGTCTGCTCCAGGGTTCCAAGTTCTCTTCTTGGCACGTTTTCTGGGTGCAGCAAAAGAACCGTTACCATTACTAAACTCAGTAATGGTAACGGTTTCCTCGCCATTCCCAAGTGCCCTGTCCGCAGGCAGGCTGTGATAGGCCGATCGGTGATCGAGATGGGTTTGTGGCATCCCTCCGCCCTTCTCATCAGGCTCCAGAGCTGAGGGGGCCCGGACTAGTACATCATCTATACTGTAGTGTCTCATTGCAAACTTACAGTATATGATGATATCCCAGCCAGGGCCCTGCAGGGGTCACAGGAAGCGGCTTAGAGAGCGTGGCAGCTGCAGTGGGGAAAGCCAGGGCCTGGGGGCAGAGCAGGACGGGTCAGGACACACAGAGCTCCCCTGTTCTTGCTCCACAGCTCCTGGCCTAGCATTTTAATTCTGTAGTCAAGAGCTTCCCATGTGTGCCGAAACCGGTTTGGCTCAGTGGATAGAGTGTCGGCCTGCTGACTGAAGGGTCCCGGGTTTGATTCTGGTCAAGGACATGTAGCTTGGTTGCGGGCATGTAGCTTGGTTGCGGGCACGTCCCCAGCAGGGGTCGTGCAGGAGGCAGCTGATCGATAACTCTCTCTCATCGATGTTTCTAACTCTCTATCCCTCTCTCTTCCTCTCTGTAAAAAATCAATAAAATATATTAAAAGAAAAAAAAAGAGCTTTCCATGTGGTTACGGGGAAGGGAAGTGGCCCAGGGAACTCTGCACAGCAAGGACCTAAATGAAATCGGCCTTAGGGACCCAGCAGGGGCGTAAAACCTGAGATCTCAAAATGAGGGAGAAGATTGCCTCTGGTTAGACCAACCCACAGACCCAAAGGAGGGCACTTACCTAGGCAGGAACTGCAGACTGGAGAGGAAGAGACGCGGTCCCTGCCTCTACTCCCAAGTGCTTGCCTTTTAATCTATTGGCCCCTCCCCTGGGTGTGGCACTTGCCCCTGGGGAAGGCCCTGCCTCTTAACCCTTTCCCTGTTGAACACCTTAGAAGGAAGGTCACTGGCCCCTCTCCCTATTACGCCCTTTCTCACATGCTCTTATGGACCTTGCTAAGCTTAGGATCCACTCTTTACTCTCATCCCATAAAGCTGGTCACCTATCTGCTGGGCCAGGGAGGAGAAAGAGCAGCCTCACCCCATTTTTCAGGGCTTATGAGAATTGCTGGTGGAGGTTTTTGTTTTGTGTTTTTATGGGACTGTTAGTTGAATCTCAGTAAGGTAGGGAGGATCCTTACAGCTGGATCTCTAGATTCCTGGGACATGCTCTGGCCTAAATTTCAGTCCCGAAGTCCCTGTCTACTTTTGTGCTAAGCCCAAGGAGGCCAGACTTAGGCAGGCAGACCCCTGGCCCACCTCAGCCATGGTCCTCTAGGTATGCGCCCTGCTGGGAGATTTGAAGGCAGCTGAATCCCAAACTCTTGTGAGAGCCCACATAAGGGGGCACTTAGATCAAGGCACTTAGCCTGGCAGTATTTGGTTCTCTGCCTCTGGGGAAGATGAGACTCCTGGGGTAGAGACTCCTCAAAGCAGGACTTCTATTAAGAACCCATTCTTGGGGGACACACATCTGCTTCTTCCATCTTTCCTCTCCTAGACAATCTGGTCTGTGTTCTGGGAGGCAGTTATGCTCCTTCTCTGCAGGGGAAGATGAGGCCAGGATGGGGAGTGGGAGGCGAGACCCAACCTTCTGGTTCCTTGGAGGTGTCCTAGTTCCTGATGCCACAGAACCTTGGCGCATGTTTTTCCCTGGTTGGCATGATCTCCTCTCCTTTCTTGTCTAGTTAGCTCCTGTTCCCACTTCAGATGTCTAAAGGTCACCTCTTCTGGGAAGTCTTCCCTGGTTAGTTAAACCCCCCAGTTATGGGCTCATTTATTTGTATAATTATTTGCATTAAGTAAATAATTACGAGGGTCTTATTTATAAACTAATGTATCTCTACCACAGAGTAGGGACTAGACATTCATGTCAAATGATTGACATGGAACCGAACCCGATGTAATGTGGGGGAGGAGAGAAACTTTGGCCTGGGAAGGCAGGTGGACTAAGGTGTTGCTCTCTCAGGCAAGTCATTTTCTCTCTTGGACTGTCCCGGTTCTCCTTTGTAAATAGCAATAATAACAGTCCCCAGTTCACAGAGAGCAGGTGCTTAGCTACTCGTAAAACACTTAACACAGTGCTAGTGCCGGCCCACAGGAGGGGTTCAAGCAAGTTAATTCCTGCCTCACCCTCTTCCCACAGGCTCACTGAAGGCCACAGGTGAGGCCTGTTGTTGAACATCTGAAAGCTTATAGTATATTCTTTTTTAATTTAAATTATTCTTATTGATTTCAGAGAGGGAGAGATAGAAACACCAATGATGAGAGAGAATTGTTGATTGCTTCCTGCACACCCCCATTGGCCTGCAACCTGGGCATGTGCCCTGACCGGGAATCAAACTATGACCTCCTGGTTCATAGGTCAGTGCTCAACCAGTCAGGCTAGAAGATTCTTATTTGTTTTTATTTTTTTATTTTTTATTTTTTACAGTCCTCACCCAAGGATATGTTTTCTTACTGATTTTTAGAGAGGAAGAGGGAGAGAGAGAAACATGGATGTGAGAAACACCAATCAGTTGCCTCAGCCCAAATGGGGATTGAAACTACAACCTCGGTATGTGCCCTGACTGGGAATTGACAGGACAGCACTCCAGTCAACTGAGCCACCCGGTGCATGGAACATTCTTGAAAGCAGGTCAAGGCTGTTGAGAGATCCCAGGTTTAGAGGTGACAGGCCTTGAGTGACAGTCCCACCTCCACTTCATTCAACTCTGTGACTTTGGACCAAGTTCCCTCATCTTCAGTTTCCTCAAATATAAAATGGGAGCGATCCATACCCACCTCCTGGTTGCCAGGATGATGGATATGAGCACTTTAAGAGAATATCACCGGCCCAAAATGATGTCACTGTGCTAAAAGCCCAAGATAGCAAACCTAGATTATCTGATATAATTGAAGTTTTGACCTTTCCCAGAAATACGATAATCAGTCTGGAATTTCCCGGTCATGCATCAGTAAGGTAATCTGTCATGTGAGCCCTCTCCATCCCCCCCCCCACCCACCCACCCTCCATAGAAAGAAGAGGCAATCCGCATGATAAAAACCCTTCTCATCCCCCTCCCCCTAAAAAAGTCAAGGACCCCAAATATTCCTTTCTTTTGTTACTAGCTCCCTTGCTCTACTCTTTGTCCTATAAAAACCCTTTATTTTGTACAACCCCTCAGAGAGCCTTTCTAGTTGCTAGATGGGATTCATGAGTCTCTTAAAGCCAACTGGACCTTGCAGTTTACTTGGTTGAATTTTGTGTTGTTTGTTTGTTTGTTGTTGTTTTTAACAGCATTCATTTCAAACCCAGATGAGAGCCTACCGTGTAGAGAACCAATGTCAGTTTTCATCCCTCCTTTTCTCTCTCATGAGCATGTGATGGGGGGTGGGGGGTGGGGCAAAGTGCCACTTCACGGAGTTGTAAGAATTAAGTGAGAAATAAGTGTGAGAAACCTTTGTAAACCCAGGTGCTCTCACCAAGTGAGGGATTGTGTCTATTCTTGCCTCTCTCTGACCCCCTTTCCTGTCCTGTGACCCTTTCTACTCAGAGACTCCACAGAGAGTTCAGGCTCCTTTCCCGGAGTAAAGGCCTCAGGCGTTAGGGCTAAACTTTGTCATTCACAGTCCAGCCTTGTGCTTGACCTCCAAAGGTGAGCAGGGACCGAACCCAGGGGTCCTGGAGACAAGGGAGAACAGTATCTCAGCCAAGCAGAGGTGTGTGGCTGCGGCCCCAGGCTGGGGCGGAGGGGGCTGTGGTCAGGGTGTGGACTGGAGAAGAGTGAGCCTGGGTGGGGTGGTCTGGGGGCCCTGATAAGCAGACTTGTGGTTATCAGGGTGGGGGCCTTTCTGCTTATCCAGAGCCAGCTGGGGCTGAGGTAGGACCTGAGGACACTTCCCGCCACCTCCTGAAGGCTGCTTGTAATCCCTGTGCCTCCTTCAGCCCTAAAGGGGGGTTCGGGCGGGGGTCCTTCCTTTCTCTCAGTCCTATGGAGACTCTACCCTTTGCATGGCTAGCATGGGGGTGGGGACCTTGGGTTCAGCCTTGCATTCTAAGAGTTTTTACTTCAGACTAGGAGCTGCAAGGCTCTCCTGAGGACTAGTCTGGGACCTTGTCCTTCTCAAGTCTAATTCTAGTGCTTTCCATTGCAACTTTTAGGCCTTGACTCTTATTTAGACATTTTTTAAAATTTTTCACCCAAGGATATTATTTCTATTAATTTTTAGAGCAGCGGTTGTCAACCAGTAGTGGTCTGTGAGTCAGAAATGTTGACGACCGCTGTTTTAGAGAGTAGAAGGGAGGGAAGGAGGAGGATGAGG